GCCTGCCTGCCTGCCTGCCTGCCTGGCAAGCGCGAGCTCCTGAGTCTGACCCCCGGAACCAAAAGTAAAAATAAGTAAAACTTGTCCAGCAGGAGCCTGAGGACAAGGGCGGGCCTGTGAGAAGCAGGCCTCACACAGGGCTGGGCCCTGTCCCTCGCACCTCTGCAGGAACCTTGTGTCACTCTCTTCTGGAAAGTGACCTGTTTTCTTATTCTCCCGTCTTCTGCGCCTGTTACTTGTCCAAAAGGGCAGCGATCCGGGTAATGGGGTGCTGGCTCCCCAGGACAGCATGTGGGAACCCCAAGGACGCCCACAGGCCCAGTTACTCCTGGGGCCAGTGCCCAGGCCAGATGTTTGTGCAGGTGCTCAGCATGAAGGGTTCGGATGCTCCCTCGCCAATCTGGCCACAGAGTACAATCTGAGACCCTGGGCTGGACCCAGGACACTGGATGTTCTCTCCTGGTGGTGGTGCCTTTGTCCCAGCCCTCCCGCCATCCTAGGAGCCGCATCCAAAACTTTCTCCTGGAGCCCCAGCTTGGGTATAAGCCCCTGTGTAACTCCCACTCTTCCTGTGGGGTGGTGTGACCAATGGACTCCCTGCTATTGGGTGTGGGGCATATAGGTGCTCAGGACCTCTGGAGCCCCCTCAGCGCACACATCGAACCCACCCTGTGGAACCCGTCACCCCCATGGGCAGTCTGGGTTCCCCACCTGGACTGCCACGGGCCACAGGCTAGTTCTCCCACTTCCCAGGCCAGGGTCCAGTATGGCTGAGCCCTGCCCACCCTGGGGAATCAGGTGGCACTGGGCTGTTGAGGGTCTGTGAATGCCAGGCTGGCCAGGCTCACTGCCTTGAAGCCTGTGGGGGACCTGGTCTGCACAGAAGGGCAGTGGCCTCCCGAGCCCCAGTGGCTTGGCCTCTCTGGTCACACCAGAGTGGCTCAGCCACCTCAGTGACTGCGGGTGTTCTGGGTCCAAGTAGCTGGGTGGGCAGGAGCTGGTTTATCCTTCTGGTGCTAATGCTGTGAGCTGATGACAGTTTGAAGGTTCAGTGTGAGTGGTTCTGCTGCCTGGGCCATCATGATAGCTGGATCTGGAAGTGAGTGCCCAGGAGGCTGCAGCATGGCCCAGTGCAGGCAAGGAGGCTCTGCCGTGGCCTTCTGAAGCTAGCTTGGCAGTGTCCACACTGGAAGAGTGCTCACCGGAATCTCAGGCCAGTGTGCTGAAGGCACTGTCCTGGGTGTCAGTATGTCGGCTTCTCTCCCTGTGGCCAATGGCTTTCACACCAAAGCTGTCAGGCCTGCCTTACCAGCAGGACCCCAGGGGCAGGCTTGGGGAACAGCCACCCTTCCTGGAGTGGAGGCGAGGCGAGGTATTGGGGTTGCCAGAACCTTGAGGGTCCCACCGTCCCTACCCTGCTTGCCCTTCTGCCAGTCCCCCCACCCTGCAGCAGTCTCCCAGCAGTGTCCCCAGCCCTCCTTGGATCTCCTTAGGTCTCCAAGCATGGTGCCCACATCCCACAAGTCCACACCCAGATCAGCCGGAGATGTCCTTAGCCCCGGAAGTGTTTTCCTGCAGACGTGGGCACCCCTCCGTCTGTCAGCTCTGGCTGGCCCCAGTTTTTGCTCCATCTAGTTTCTTGTGGGATCCAGCCACTGCTCCGGGAACGGGCTGTCTCCTGGGCCTGAAGAAGACTTGGTCTGCGCCCTCCTAGGTCTCCAAAGCTGGATAGTCCTGCCTGTCTTGACTCTTGAGCCACAGTCTGTCACAGAGAGCCTGGCCGGGTGGACAGTCGATGGCCTTGGCCACTGGGGCAGGCGCCGTCTCCAGCACCCACATTCCCTGCAGTGACGCACGTCTTACTGCAGTTCTGTGTACCAGAGTAGTACAGATGAATTCAGGTCCTGAAGACCAAGGTGGAGAGGCACGTTTCCTAGGTCGGGCTGCTGTCCACTGCGACATGAGTACCGTACTCTGCTTGGACGTACCCTGGGTATCCATCCCAGGCCTGAGTCCTCCCTGCTTAGTATGCAGAGATTGCTTTGTGTGTTTGGGACGAGTGCTCACTGCTGAGTTGCATCCCTTTTCAAGAAGGGGTCTTGCCCTGAACTTCAGATCCTCCTGCTCAGCTGCCAAGATGGCCAGGATGGGGGTGTGAGCCACGTGCCTGGTGCTCCTTATGTGTGACCACCACTGTGTCACGACTGCAGTGACTTTTTTTTTTTTTTTTTTGGGTGATACCAGGGATCAAACTCAGGACTTCGTGCTTGCCCAGCAAGCACTTTATTCCACTGAGCTATCTCCCCAGCCCTGCGTGACTTCATTCATTCCAACAGAAGAGGGTATGGTTTGTCCAAGCCCCTGGATGTGAACAGGGCTGGGCAAATCCCTGTGCCTCTTGCTGACCCTGAGCACAGGCACCTGGCTTTTGCCAGATGCATAGGGGTGCTTACCTGGAGAGGTGCTGGTGACAGTGGGCCTTGGGGTTGCCCACCTGGCTCTGAGAACAGTCCTCTGCCCGAGCCAGGAGACGGCTCAGCAGTTTCTTACCCTTGTCGCCGCGGCTGGGCAGCACCATGCCCACTTCAGCCTGTGGGGGCCTCTTTTCCTTCTGAAGTAGCCCTGGCCCATGAAGGGTTCTCCCTCGCACTGCTGAACCCTGGCTCCAGCCCCCTGTGGACACCGCCAGCTCTGCCTGGCAGTGGTCTGGGATGCCCTGCCTCTGGCCTTCCTGAGTGGGCTCAGGGTGTCCTGCCTCACAGATGCTCCCACATGGACCCAGCACTGCTGGACAGGGATCAGGCCAGCATCGAGACGTCTTGTTGGGGTGACAGGCCCGAGGATGCTAGGCTGAAAGACCAGTCAGGCTGGGCAGGGCTGCTGAGGGCCAGGCCTGTACCCATCTGCTCCTTCTCACTGCCCATCCAGACCTGGGGCTCCAGCACCCGGCCTGCACCTGTGGAGAGAAGATGTGGTCAGGGCAGGCTTGGCAGTCCTGAAGCCCCCAGCCACCTATGGGCCACTTAGCTGCTGCCCTGAGCTGGTCCAGGCTGTGGAGAAGAGACCCAGCACCCTTTCTGGAGGGACAAACACGGGCATGAGGGCTTTTCGCTCCCCCGGCTTCCACAGGTGCAGGCAGGGCTCAGCACCCTCCCTGCACTGGGCTCAGGCCACCTGGCTGGGTGTGGGCAGGCACCAACCCACAGCGGGACCTGTGCGCTCAGCTGAGGCAGGTGTGGCTCACAGGACCCAGATTCACCTAAGTTGCATTTTGACACAGTACACACACAGGAGGTTCCAAAATTAGAATTTATTTTCATTTCTAAGGAACAAGTCCATGAGCATGAGACAGGGCTGCCCAGTGGCTTGGCAGCCCGGCCCAGTTCTACAGGGCTTCCCTGATTGGGTTGACAGTCAGCACAGGGACAACTAGACGTGGGGGACCTCAACATGTGGCTGGGGCAGAGTGCTGGGCACAGGCTGCCAGGGTCCTGAGGCAGGCAGTGTCCTGTTGGGCCGCCTGGGTCCATAACCCTGGGCCATGCCCACGCCCACTCAGGACAGAGACGAACACAAGACTCCTGTCTCACTGGACTTAAGGCTTGTATTTCCTGACATTTGCTCCAGTTTGCTTTTTTCTTTAAAGTTACCTGAGTAAAAAAATTTTCAGACATTTAAAAAAGCCCCAAACACAGAATCTCTGTAGGCGGAGACGCAGCTGGTACGCTACAGGCTGGTCCAGGGCGGCCACAGCTCCCCAGCCCCCAGTGGAGAGCTGCATGGCCCCAGCAGGTGCCAGGCGAGGCCCTTGGAACCAGACGCCTAGCGCACAAGGCACAGTGAGGTAGGGTGTGACCAGGGCCAGCCTGCCGTGGGCAGGGCCTGCGGGCGTCGGAGCCCCTCCCTAGCCTGCCACTTGGTGGCTAGGCCTGAATGGGTCCCAGGCCCTTGAGTAGGACCGCGGGCCCAGACCGTTAAATAATCCTTTATTGGGTGGGCTGGGGCGGGCAGGCGAGGCTTGACCTGGGCCCCCATGGGGGGTGCTTGGATGCTCCCAGAAGGCTCCTGGGCGGTGCGGGGAGCTGCAGCAGGGGACAGCCCTGGGCAAGGCCTCCTAAGGACCTGGCCGGGCTCCAGACGCCCTCTGCAGGCAGGACTGTGCCACCGGCAGTGACAGGAGGAGGCTCACGGTGCGGCGGCCCATCCAGTACAGGCTGTAGCCCAGCAGCCCGAAGAAGGCGGCCTTCACGGCCAGGCGGGACACTCGGCCCGTGATGGATGGTGGGGGGACACTAGGAAGGGAGGAGCAGGCTGGGCCTGACAGGGGCAGGAGCCCTCCAGCCCCAGCCCCCAGTGTGTAGGTCCCCTGAGGCCCATCCTACTAAGGGTGGGGTAGAAAGGGGGGACCCCACAGGGACAGCGGTGCTCACGTCATGATCTCCTGGATGTTGAGGTCTGTGCTCCAGTTCTTCTCAATGCCGGGCACGTGGCCCATGCCCACAACGCCTACGACCACGGAGGGCACGCACTTCCTGGGCTCGGCTGTGGGGAGGACAAAGATCAGCAATGCCTGTAGGAGCCACAGTGTTGTACAATCCCCAGTACAGGGGAAAAAAAAAAAAGCCACAATGAGAGAACCCACCACCGTCACTCTCACCCTCACCCTCACCCTCGGAGGCTCGGGGCAGCTCGAGGCGCCGGGCAGCTTGCCGCAGCATGTATGTCAGGTAGATGTCACGCTCAGACACAATGGTGCGGTGCAGGTCAGGGAACTCGCCGATCATCTCAGCCATCATCTGCTCCAGCAGGTCCTTCTGCTTGCAGCGCTCCACATCGTCCTTGCTGTGGGCAGAGGCATGCTGCCGGCCCACAGGACAGGCTGCTGGCCCAGGGCAGGTTCCGCCACGCAGGGCTTGCAGTTATAGAGGAGGCTGGCCCAGCTGGAGAGTGCCTGGGGGCCAGGGGCTGCCCTACCTGATGGGGTCCGACAGGAAGCACAAGCCCCAGGCCAGCTTGACCTTCTGCCAGAAGGACAGTGCGGCAATGGCTCTCTTGAAGGTGACAGGGATGGGGCGGTCGCCCAGGTGGAACTTGCAGAAAGGCACCTTGCTGGCCTGGAGCAGAGGCTATGTTGGGCACAGCCCTGCAGCTCACACTGCCCCCTCCCAGGGCTGGGTCCCTGCAAACGCAGGCCATGCCCAGCACCCACCTCCTTGAAGGCCTCTCTGAACTCGCCACCAGGGGCCATGCCCAGCTGCTCAGTGATGTGAGCCGACACCTTCAGCAGCAGCATCTGCATGAGCCCAGACATGAGCCCGTTCTGTGGGAGAGAGGCCATGTCAACCACACTGCGTATGTGTGGGGAAGGAGGCAGGTGGTGCCAGGCCCCATCCTCAGAGGCCTCCTGCACCAGACCACACACTAGTCTTCCTGGCCACTTTTGCCACACATGTCCTCTGAGGGAAGCTTTCTTTTCATGACAGGCAGGCTGCTACGTGGGGCACCTCACACTGTCATGGACACTGGAGGTAGTGTCAACCCTGGGCACACAGACAGGGGCACCGGTACAGAACACAGGACAAGGGTCTGCTGCCATGTGGTAGGGCTGGGTAGGCCATGCTGAGACCCCCGATTCTTGTCCAGCAGCCTGGCCAGCCCCAGCCCTAGGGGCAGAGCAGCATGCAGTTGAGCTTCTCTGGGCCGAGGCCAGGTCCCAACCAGGGGAGACCTGGCATGCTGGGCACAGCACGCGGGGACCCTGGCCCTGCCCTGTGCCTCCCCAAATGCACACCTGCCGCACAGCCTGCTGCAGCTTCTCCAGGCTGACCTCCTTGGCCTCACGCAGCAGCGTTCTCTCGTCCATCTTCAGCATGGACACCCGGTACTGGCAGAGTTCCACGACCACCACGTCGGGCTGCACCTCACGGATGGTCTGTAAGGCACAGTCACCCTGAGGGACTCCCCTGCTGCCGTGCACTAACACCTGGCTGTTGCCGCCCCTCAATCCTTTCAGCAACTGAAGTCAGGAACACAGGGGCTACGAGACTGCAGCACAGCTGTGGGCGGCCTTGAAATGCACAGTGGTGGAGGGGTGGGCCTCACCTTCACCACGTCCCGTTTGCTGTCGTCACTGAAGTGGGCAGTGCCCACTACGTACACCCTGCTCCCATCCTCAGCCACGAGCTGGGTCACCGTGCGTGGCAGGTTGGGCTGCTCTCGCCGCCGCTTCAACTTCATCTCTAGGAGCAGGCTGAAGGCATCCGCATCAGCTGCAGGGACAGTAGGCCCACAGTGGGCAAGGCCCAGCTCAGGGCTCTGGTGTGGTCCGACTCCCATAGCACAGGCCTCCAAGACTGGCTGGCTGCTGTGGGGCTCCAGAGTTCCAGGCATCCCTGTCACACTACTTGAACCAGGGCACTGGGGGCATGGCGGGGGTCCTGCTGCCCTCACCCCACTTATGCTCAGGAGCCCCCTCCTGCACCCACGGGCCAAGGCTGCTTGCAGCACCCCCATTTGCACAGAGGGTCCCTCAGGCCTCGCACCCCAAGGTTTCATGGGAGACGTACACAGGTTCTGGGCTTCTCCAGAAAGCACCCTGGGCACTGATGCTGAGGCCCCTGACGTCACGCCGGTTTCCATGTCAGCCTGGGGTGGGAGGGAGCAGTCAGGCTGGTGTCCATGTGCCTTGGAGAGGCTGCCTGTCAACTCCACCCCCCAGATTAGGACCCCCACCTTCCCCTTGGAGGGGCTTCCTGCCGGAGTACAGAAAACCTGGTCTCCACAGCAAGTCCTTGGCAAAGAATGAGTCAGAGGGACCTGAGGAGGCCACAGGGAAGATGATGTCCCTGTGGGAAGGCCTGGCAGCCAACACCCTCACCTCCTGAGGTGGCTGTTCCTCCCCTTCCATGGCTGGGTGGCAGCTTCTGAGCAGTTAGAAGATGCCTAGGGAAGAGGACACAGTCCTTACCTGGGGCTTGGGTTAACTGGAGGCTCCCTGAGCGATTCTTGCATTCTTTGCCCTGACTCTATCAGAGAAGGAAGCTGAGGTCTGGGTCCTGGATGAGGCCTAAAACCCGGTGTCCACAAACAATGTGGCAGGGATAGGCAGTGCCTGACCTGCACACCCATGGGTGCTCACAGCACATGCCCAGGGCCTCTGAGTAGTGACAGTATGCCAGAAGAGGAATTCTGGGGAAGGTAGTCCGGGTGGCACCCATGGGGGCTGGGACATTATCCAGGGAAGAGGGAAGGGTAAGGCTGAGGGAGCCCAGGGTAGCTTGCAGAGGGCCAGTTCACAGCATCAGGACTTACTGCTGTGTCTTCTCAAAGGACCCGCAGCTCTGGGGACACAGGCCCAGAGCGCTAGATGACACAAAGGGGATTAGAGTAATGCTGATGGAAGGGGGACAACACCCTCCATCAGACCCACCCGAAACAGCGGAGGCCCTGGCGAAGACCAGGGTCCCACTGAGCAGTGGACATGTGCCTCATCCTTCGGTGCAGCTCTCCCTGAGCTTCCTAAGTGGGGTCCAAAGGTATCCCATGCTTCCTGACAGATGCCACCTGGCAGAGCTGTTGGAGAACCCAACAGCAAGCTGTGAGCCGCGCGCAGCAGGAGCCCAGCAGCCAAGGAAGAGGCTGCAGGATCTAACCCTCGATGCCCCGGAGGCAGGGTGAAGGGTGCCACTCGAGGGCCAAGGGCAGTGCATAGCTGAGCGTGGGTGGGCCCTGGCCTGGGAAATCTGCTACCAGAACCTAGCAGCTGGATGCTGTAATGCCAGGGAACTAAAATACCCCTATTTGTTTTCAGCTGTGCCAACGCTGCGCGGCTCGTTCAGAGGGTCTGTGTACACGTGAGCTCTGCACCAAGGGGACCCTCAGGAGGAGCTGTGGCCCAGGGCGCAGTGGGCCCCTTGGGTTACTTGTGTCTCAGCATTGCAGCACACCTCTCGGAACTTTCACGGTCCAGAGAAAACAGCAAGCGAGCGTGTGGTCTCTCAAGCTTCTCCCCCGCACACCCTGAGGCCCTGCTGCACACTACCCACCATCCCCAGCTCCCAGACACAGGAAAGGAAAACCCCGTGGCACCTCTGAGCTGGCAGTGTCTCTCTGGGTATAAACAAGTGCCTGACATGGCACCTGGGACACAGGTGTATGCTAGGGTCCACTGAGAAGGGGGCGCTGTCCTGAGCCCAGCTGGGCCCTCTCTAAGAGGAAGTGGTGTGGGCAGGGAACAGCAAGTCGGGACAGGAAGCAACTGGGCTTCAAGGTGCAGGGAGGCCAGAGAGTCCAAGGACAGCAGCAGCCATACCCTAACTGGGCCTTCAAGTCCAGGCCTCAGGGCCAGCCCCGCCCTGAAGGCACAGTCCTGGCCAGTCTCCTCCACCTGGGCCTGGGTCTGGAGTCCACCCTATCTGTGCACGGTAATGGCCAGCCTATCTGGGAAGTGCCACGTCTCTGCCAAAGCCCACAGATATCGGGTCCTTTGAGTCTCTTTCCCTTCTACAGATGAAACCTGCAGACGCACGAGGAGGTGTGCTGGGAGGGAAGGCAGGACAGCTGTGAGCCCTCCCCCTTCATGAACCCGGAAGCCAGAGGACAGCCAGCTGGGGCCCACCCTGCACACCCACAACCTTAGCCAGACAAGGGATGGGAGACAACCTTCCATAGTCCAGCTTCATGGCAGCAAACAATTCTTATGGATGAGCAGCACAAGGCTACCAAAGCAGGAGGGAAAAAAAATCCTTAAAAAACATTCTGCGTGCAGGCGGGAGGCTGTGGCACTGCCAGCGAATGGGAGGAGACCACGTGGCCTCCCACAGACGCTCCGGCCACAGGACTGCGATCAGCCGGGCCAACCCACCCTCTCCAGCTTGTCCAGGGTGTGCCTGGGCATGAGGAGGCCAGGTGCAGGCTCCAAGTCAGGTGGGGCAGGAATAGTCCTGCCTCTGGGTGTCAAGGGGCTAAGGGGCCAGGAGCCCGGGCTGGAGCCCACAGGGGGGAGGGCAGGCCACCAAAAGCTGTCAGTGACCCGTACAGCTCCGTCTACGGGGGAGAGGGTAAGGCGGAAAGGCTACCGTCGTCCCAACACCCGGGTGCCTGAGATTAAATTTTAGAGCGTCTGAAGCTACGCTGCGGCGCTGTGTACTTTCCTCTGAGACACATTCAGCAGGTGCCAGTCCTCCGCTCTTGCACGGTATTTCCATCTGGAGACGGGAGCGCAGCCTAGTCCTGTGTCCCCACCTCTCCTTTCCAAACTGGCTCAAGCCCGCGGCACAGACCAGCAGACCCCTGGCTGCCGCCCCCCAGAACAAATGTCTGTCCTTCTTCCTAAAACCTAGCAGCTGGCAGGCAGGCAGCTCCTGGCCTCATCCCTGGTTCTGACCCCAGCCACACGTGTCAAATCAGCCCCCAGCCAGCTCTCCCCGCGAACAGGCGCGGCAGCGCCTCCCTCCCTCTCAGGCCTGCAGGCGACCCGAAGACACCCCTGCTGGCTGGCGCCCGTCCTGCAGCAGGCGTCCACAAGGCTACGGCCCCTAAAGATTCCCAACCAAGTCTGTCAGCGGGCCGAGTACGACGGGCGTCCCCACAGCAGGGATGTGGCTGGCCAAGCGCGTCCCCAAGCCACATGCCCCGTCCGGCCCAGCAGTGCGCCCTCTCCAGGCCCCTTATGAGGAACCGACCTGCCCCCGAATTCGCACTGGCAGCCCTGCCCGCAGGTCGGCGTCCTAGAAGCGAAGGCCGACCCCCCCACGGGGCAGCCCGCAGGCAGGGACGCCGCGCAGCTCCGCGAGCGCAGGAAGGGCTTGCGTGCCGGGCAGAGCGCCCCGGCCCCGGCCCCGGCCCGCGACGCCGCCCTGCAGCCTGCGGCGGGTAACGTCTGTGCGCGGACTTCCCAGCCGGGCAGCGCAGACGCCCGCCGCCCTCGCACCGTTGCTCCCCGGCCCTGCCCGGCCCGCAGCGCGCCCAGACGGGCCCCTGGCTCGCAAGGAGGG